CAGCAGCAATAATCTACAACTACAGCAATAACCAACAGCAGCAGCAATTCAGCAGCAACGTAGCAGATCTGTTCCGCCAAGACCAAATACATTAACATTGTCATATCCATCACCATGCTAAAATCTTCCGAGAGTTGTCATGATTGAAATATATTTTTAAGAAAAATGACAACTGAAAATAAAAAAAGTGAATTCAAATTATTATTAAATACTATAACATTATATAAATATTACTAAAATAACTTAGGAAATTAAATATGTTCAATGTATCCCACCTGTCTAAGAAAACATATTTCCCCTTTTTTGGTGGAAGTGGTGGTGGAATCTCAGGAGCCTCGGCTTCCATCTCCATGGAATTCAGCTGCACGGTGATTCATTGTGATTTGAGTTTGAAAAACAAGCCCAAGGAAAAGTTCAATAGTTAAAAATAAGCAAACCAAAAAAGTTATTTATCAGTTACAACATTCATTAAAGTTCATTCATAGTGTAAGAGATCTGTCATACATTAGAAGTACGAGGATAGAAGTATGAAGAAGTAAACATACATTTTGTCCTTCTTCCTCCACACTGCCTTGGATGCTTTTGCTGCTGGTGTGCTCACAATCATGTTTATCTTTAAGCTTTTCCATCAGTTTCTGAGTAAGATTCTTCATTTTGTTTTTCACTCCTTTCTTTTGCGTTTTGGTGAGTGGGATGTCATGTTCTGCATCCCCGATGCTCATGACTGAATCCTCCTGTCCCAAAATCATAGCAGCTTTGTGGAAGCTTTTCATTGACATTGCATTTGCAATATCTTCATATTCCCATAGGTTTGAAATACTTGGAGCTGAGAGGGGTCTCTCTTCCTTACGCTTGTGTTGTACTGGATCTGAAGCGGACCTTGTTGTCTTGCTTGTAAGGTTCACAGCAGTTTGATGGGTCAGAACCCTTCTTGTGTCCATACTGATTGGATTTGAAGGACCACCACAAGCTTCATCTGGTGGTTCATGCTTAAACCCCACCTGTGCAGAGTCTACTTTATCTGAGGACACAGAGAGGTAAGATGTGTGTGCAGATGTTTCTTGAGATGGATTGTTAGGCAATAATGCAGCTCCAGCCACATGCTCTTTCATGCTAGTCTCTTTGTTCTTTTTGTCCTCCAAAAACTCACTTTTACTTGGCTGCTGACTTAATTCTGAAGCTTGTGTTTCTTTGGACAAAGAGACAGGGAGAAATCTCTTCCTCTCCCAATTAGGAAGGGCGTCTGGAGGCTCTTTGACCTCTTCAACAACTTCCTTTCCATCTTCTGTTTCAGAACTCCTAGTTGGTTGCTCCTCATCACCATCAGATCTGACTGTGCTATATTTCCTGTCTTCTTCATTTGTTATATGTTCTTCAGACTCCAGAGAATGGTAAAACACACTTTTACAGGCCGTATCTGGGTGTGAAATGGGATGTTTGTGTTTTAGACTAAGTTTCGCCAGCATAGACTGCAGTAGTGGAATATCATTCCGCAGACCATTCCTCACATCGCTCTGCATGAAAAGAGACATATTATGTTCTTATAAAATGAGTTCATGGCATTATTCATCTTTTTATTTTAACTTACTTTAAAAAAATATATAGGTTCCAAAAGGGTGTTTTCACAGTGATAACGTAGAATAACAATTTTTGGTTCCCCAAAGAAACTTTCAGTGAACAGTTCTTAATATACCTTTTTTTTTTAGTGTAAAGAACTTTTTAATAATCTAAAGAACCTTTTTCCACTATAAATAACTTTTTGTGCAATGGAAAGGTTCCATGAGTGTTAAAGGTTCTTCATGGAACCATTGATGCCAATGTAGTCCCCTAGTTCTAATAGTACTATACATTGTATTTTTTTTTTTAAGAGTTTACAATACTAGTGACATACCATTTACTCTTATATATTATATATCATACAAATCTTATCACATTTGATCTTTTTGTGCTCTTGAAAACTTAAAAGCCTTTTTTGCAAAGGAATCTTATCTATTGTATCTAGCATCCATTTTTCATACCTTTGCTGTTTCTTCCTCCATAGCCTCTCATTTTCTTTCATCCTTTACAGGTCCTTTACATTCATCCTTCAAGTCATATCCAGTATTGCTTTGTCACTTTGAAGTGTATTAAACCTTATTGTCTCTTTTCTTCAAACCAGTCAACAGCACTTGCAAAGCACCTTGTTTCTGTGCCTACCTCTCTCAGCCACTGCATGCCTTCTCTGTTGTTTATCTTCCTTGTATAGTCTAGCATTTCCGTAATGCCAAAACCTGTTTTCTAAATCTTATCTCACAAACACTTATCTCTTTCTTTCCCCATTTAATGAATGTATTTTTGCATTAAATATGAAATCTGCATTAAATAACTTTGCGATAGAGTGTTTATATCATTAAAAAATGTGCTGATATTTCAAAATGTGCAGCTGAATGTAACACATAGAGGCAGGGATACTGTAAAATATTAAGTCAATAATACTGGCCTACAGTTTACATAGAGAATAAGATGTGAATGTGTCTTAATGTCAGGGCCGTAGCTGGGGTTTGCAGGGCCCCGGTGCAGGTTGTACCCGTGGGCCGTTTGAAATAAAATAAATAAATAGAACGAACATACAAATTAAATAATGTTAAATTTTTTTCAAGTTTGTATAGGTTTTAAAGTACAGAAACAGAATAATCAAATGTAAAATATCATTGCATAGTCTTCACTGTATAAATTAAATATAGAATCATTCTTATTAAAACTACAACGTAATTCAGTTAAGAACAGTGAATGATTTTCTCTCTTTTATTTTCTTAGATTAACATTAAGGACACAGACAACAGCTAGTAAATTAGGTGCAGTCACTTTAAGAGACAATGCAGTGCAAAGGACTGGCCAGCTAGAAGTAAGCACAATGGTCAGACAAACTTGACAAACAGGAATGTCTGAAGAATTCCTTCTGGGACTTTCCACTTCATCTTTGGACTACATTCTTGATCGCAAATTATTTCACTTCTTCATGACCCGTGTATGCGTTCATACATAAACACTTATCTGAGCACACTTTCACAGATAGATATGCTCATATATACATCCACTCCAGTGAAAACATGTAGGTTGCTTACAGCATACTGTGCAGTAAATAGTATACTGCAGTGGTTTTGTCTTATTTATTTATTTAATTATTTATTTAGTTTGTGCAAGACCAATGTGGGCCCTGTTCTCCTGGTATAATTAATAAAAAATAATTATATATATATATATATATATATATATAGCTGGAATATATTGTAGCATTGCATTGTGAGATACAGTATTCCATGCAGTGTGCTATTCTGCATGTTGCATATTTTGGCAAATGTATATCAAACTTCCTGGAGGCCCACAATCCCTGCAGAGTTTCGTTCCAACACTGCTCGAACACACATACCATGTAGTTTGCCAGTAAGCCTGAATGACTTGATTGTAGTAGGACTTGATGTAGTTTTCCAGTAAGTCTGAAGGATCAGGTGTGTTGAATTAGGGTTGGCGCTGAACAATGCAGGGCTGTGGCTTTACAGGAACAGGAGTTTTGCAACACTGGGCTATTCCATATACAGGAAATCTGCACACTGTACACATACTACAAAACTAGTATGAGCAGAACGGTTGTATGCTAAACCAATGAAAGGCTACAGTGGTCGTCACGTGATCTAGATTGCGGAAACCAAACTTTGTACATTGTACACATTAGTCCACGTGTTTTGCTACTGTCGTTCTGATTTGGATTGTATCTCTTTTATTTGAAAATGAACATGTCGGCGGTCGTTCACGTTCTTATACCCTTCCTGCTTTGCACTGTGCTTGCAAACACTCACATTTTTGACAAAGTTTTAGTGGATGTCGCTTATGATCATGCACAGCACATGCCGAGCACAGTTGAGCCACGGAGATACGGCGTCCATGCGCTACTTTTACTTGGCCGTGCTGGCCTGCTCTGGTTTTGTGGTCCTGAAGCTTCTGGATCACTTTCTTGCAGAGTACTGGATGTTTCAAAATCTTTCTGGACATTTCTGGTCCAAAGTTTGCGACATTCTGCAGTTTCATTACAGTTTTTGTTTTCTCACCCGCCTTAGTGAAAATACACACAAACGCTCTTCATAAATACCCATACATAACATTTAATGTCGTACTTACATTTAATAGGTTATATTTAATGTGTATTGTGAACACAATGCAACTGAATAATAAGACAATGATCATTACATGTTTAAACTCGTATTTTGTCTAAATGGATGCTTTGTCCACTTTCATCTTGATTATCCATTTAGTAATGTTCAGAACAGTGTAAGAAAATAACTTGGTAATTAATCGATTTTTCAGGAAAACAGTCAAATATTTGGATTTCATCTCTTAGAATACAGTATTATATTTTCAAATCATATATACAAACTCACAATTTGAGGCATTTTAGTGTGTGTGTTTTTCTATCCCGGTGGGGACTTAAACCTGAATACACACCAACTCATGGGGACTCGTGTCACTGTGGGGACCTAAATTGAGGTCCCCTTGGGGAAATGGGCTCATAGATCCTACAGAATGAGTTTTTTTTTGAGAATGTAAAAATTCAGAAAGTTTTCTTTGAGGGGTAGGTTTAGGTGTAGGATGATAGAAAATACGGTTTGTACAGTAGAAAAACATACGCCTATGGAGAGTCCCCACAAATATAGTAAACCAGATGTGTACAAATTCACTATTTGATGCATTTTAATGTGCGTGTGTTCATGATGTTATGTCTTAAGCATGATTATCAGGTTTTCAAGTTGAAGACGAATAAAAAATGGACAGCCTGTTCTATATGCCTTAACTTGATGAATTAAAATAACACTTTGAGCAAAAACATCTATCAGATTTATTATTAGCTGCATGTCTGCCTTTACCTACACTGCAATATTTGTATCTCAGCACACATCTAGTCATAAGACAGAGTGTAATTTCTTCCCATTAAAATCATGATGAGATGCATAACAAAATATGTCGCACAACTTTTCAATCATCTTTATTTTAAATCTTCATATTTCAAGCCTTGTAATGCCGGTCAGCATTGGATCGGGAAAAGCTGATCTCCTTTTGTTCCAAAACAGTATGAGTACTGCTTTTCGGAAGTCTTTATTAGTGCAGTAGATAAAGGTTTAAACCACAGTCCAGATACACCATTACTGATGACAGTGATCACAGCCATTCAGGGGATGGGGATAGACCAAGCCTTCCAAGGAGAACCAACTAAAAAGAATAAACAGAATAGTTAACATGGAAAAAAACCATTAAAATTAAGCATTTGAAAGAGTGACTCCAAAAAACGGACAGAACAGAAAATTATTTCACACTAACAGACTTTTCTCACCTCGGATGCAGCAAATGGAGCATAGCAGAACAGATACAAGATCACCAGCAGTGGCGTGACAGAAGACAGGTCACCCTGGCTATGAACAGATAAAATGTGGACATTTAAACTATCACAGGAAAATTGAGAAATGGGAGGAATTTGAAGATATTTGATTATTTTCTATACCCACTGTACATCTTTGATGGCCTGAGGGTGAGTAAATTTTCAGCAAATTTTCATTTTATAAGTATATAAGTTCATAAGTATATAGGTATTAATCTTTAAAACTCCATATGAATGCTTTAAAAATTCTGTGTTCACCATTTCCAACTTTACGAACCTGGAACCGTCTTTTCCAAGGCCTACACAAGTCAGGATGGAGCAGGAGAGTATGAGTAGAAATGGGATGAAGATGGAGATGGAGAAGGCACAGAGGATGTAAACCAGCATGTCAGAGTAACTGCTTTCCCAGAACACTGCACACAGCATTTCTGCTGGATCATACCTGAACATAGGAGATAGAATACAGTATAGATGCATATATTCGGAGCATCTCTGAGCATCTTCACTCTGGCTCACCTTATCCAGTCAAAGGCTACTGGCACTGCTCCAAATATAGCTCCAGTGCACCATGATGCCACACATGCCACCGCCATGAGAACAGACAGTCTTTTACCTTTAGAAGGAATTCCCATAAATCTCTGTACACAGAAAATAGCTGACGACAAAGAAGAAAATAATGGTATTATTGTAACATAACTCTTTTTTAAAGACAAATTTTAAAGACAAACGAGGAGTTTAGATCTCAGAATAACTTTTTCTAATTCATCTTAATAAAAAAACTGATTTAAATACATTTTTGAAACTCAAAGCAAGTTCAAAGACTTGCTTTAATCATGTTAAGAATTTTAGAGATTGTACATAACCAAATAATAATAATATAAACATTATATAATAATAATAAACCCATTTCATTACAAGACAAAGAAGATAAGCATGGTATTATTGTGACATAACTCTTTTTTAGATAACTTTTTTAAGGCACAAACGAGGAGTTTAGTTTTCAGAATAACTTTATTCAATCAATCAATCAATCAATCATTTTTTATTTCGGTCCTCACAGACAACTTTTCACAAAATAAATAAATAAATAAACATAATTACCGAAAAAGGTGTAGGCTGAAGCCTTGCTTATTATGCCTACCCTTTATACACAGTTAACTGATGAGCGACACTTTTCATTAAAAAAAAAAACAAGATAAACATGTTACAAAAACATTACCCCAAATGTACATACATAATTCAAAACAACATAACAAAAAACACACATTCGAATTGTTCCCAATATTTACAAAATACTCATTAAATTCTTTGACAATGTCAATCATTTCATTTATACTTAATTTATCATCATTAACAAAATAAGTTGGGTAATCTACTTTTTCAGTTTTCTTTTTAATTATACTATTAAGTACTTTCCATGTTATGTTATTCTTATGCTTGTCCAATAACTTATTATAATAGTCCTTTTTACTAAATCTTATAATGCTTTTTAATTTATTTTTATATATCTTATATTTATTTTCCACTTGTTTGGTTCTAGTTACTATAAATTTCCTGTATAATGCATTTTTCTTTTTACACGCTTTCTCGATTCCCTTAGTAATCCATGGTTTGTCCTCATTTTTTTTCTTAACGTTATTGTATAAATCACAAACTTTGCTGTCTAAATTAATAATGAAAGAAGGAAAAATCCCAAACACTTTTATCACTTGTTAGGAATATTAATTAAAACATCAACTTTTCTGCATTTCTGTCGCATTGTTTTTTTTTTTTTTCAATAAATATTACATTTCATTTAAGCTATGGTAGTGTGCAGGGTTTTTCTTCTTTTCTCACAATACTGTCCAACGCACCCATTCAGGTGTACAAAGAGGTGTGTATTTATTTTTCCTTACTGCTAATTACAATGAAAGCAGAATTCATAAAGATATACCATAGAGGTCAATTGTTTAGTGTCATAGCCATACCTATGCTTCCAATGGAAGAGGTGATGAAGGTGAACTTTAGCAAGCTCACCACCTCACACCACGGTGAAATCTGACCTTCACTCAGCACAGCTAAGAGGGAGCCACAGATGATGAGGATGGAGCAGAAGAAATCTGAGAGCGTGAGACTGAAAAGTGGCAGCCAGTAAAGGCACTGAAAATGGTCTTTACACTGTGAGAACGCAAAAAATAATAATACAAATTAAAGGCATGATGAGGTAGGAATTACATTTTAAAATGGATCTTTTTCTTTAGAGAAAAATATTCTCTCTCTCTCTCTCTCTCTCTAAACATATACATATATATATATACACACACAACAACAACTTATTTTATAAAATTACATATTATTCTTACCACTACTTTGACTACCAAAACCAATCCATTTCCCAAAACACCCAGCACCATCTCAGTGGTGAGAATGGGAGTGAGCACAGACTTCTCAATTTTGGACCAATAATTCTCCTCTGATTCCGTTATATTATCTGAAGCGTTCACTGAAATGAGTAAGAATTTTATTCAGACAAATTCACTTTCAAATTTCACAGCTTCTGGGAATCAGAAATCAATTTAGCATTGAAATTCAAAAATTATACATCAACCTCGATCTATGAAACAGCACTTCAACAGCACAGATTTATCTTTCAGAAAACATTACAGAGAATTTGTTTAAAGGTGATCGACTTACTTTGTCACCGAAGCAGAGACCTACAGATAAACCCAACAATTAGAAAAAGGAAAGCTTCACACTCGGTTGTTTTGTGGATATGTGACACAGAGAGCTCTGAACACAGTGAATACGTGAGGACACACATCACAGCTTTCTGCAATTAAACTTATCCTGCTTCATTAAGCTTTAACCATCTAACACTTTTTCAGCTTTCTTCACAGTGACAGCACCAATGGCTATGTAAGCATTTGTATTAGATTTTTTTTTTAGTTATTTTAGCATTTTAAACACCTGTAGAACCCATAAGGTAGTGACATAAACTTATTATATTAACTCATGCCTCACTGAACTCCTAAACTATTTTCAAAACTTATGTTTAAGTGAAGGATCTTATAAGAATACAATTTAAAAAATACAATTATTTATTATATTATATTTTGATTAAGAAAAAAAGATGTTTGGTGAATTATAATTGGGAATCTACCTGCCTCCAGTACTCCTTATTTCTTTTCAGATTTCTGGACTCACTAATCCTTATTATTATCTGAAGCATTCTGTGGGCTACAATAATCTTTTTTATTTTTTTGGTAAATCGGACTTTCATAAAGCCAAAGATTTATATGTCTAAATCTGGATTTTGCATTGGTTTAAAATATTTTATATATCTCTACAGAACAAAATTCTGAACTACAGTCAGTGTTGAATTTTTAATGATATAATAGAGAAACACGGGTTCACAATAATGGTAGTATTATTAATATTATTATTTTTGTATGTTTTATTAATTTATTTAGTATTTCAGTGTTTTTTTTCATGCATTGTGTCTGCAAGAAAAAAAAAGAAAAAAGAAAAAAAAAGAAAAAAGAAAAAAAAAACTCACTTCCGGCGTTGTGCATGTGCATTTTCTCAATCGTCCGCTGTTCTGGTTGAGAAGGCCAAATAGCGAGTGTCCGGTGAGTGCGAATTTATTTTTAAACTTTTTGCTTTCGTTGTCCATCCTTTAAGTTGGCATGCATCGCATTTTGTGGAACCGATGTAATTAATACAATATTCAAAAGTCAAATATTGGCATAACAGTTATACGAATGATAACAGTGTATAACGTTAGTCATTGAAAGTCCTTGAGAAATCATCCTGTGGCTATGCTACTACAAACACCGCACGGGCATAGAAGCAAATAACACTGAGCTATATATAATTATGCAGAGATTAAATATATAAATGCACATCGCAAAAACTGTATAGTAAATATGTACGAAGCCAAGTAGCTTGAGCTCGTGTCCTAAACCACTTGCTGCAGTCCTACAGTATCTGTGTTGCCCAGTCAAACAGTTGCCTTATTATTTTGGATGTGTTACATGTTGTCTATATTTTAAATAGCGATAGTTGATATGTGGTGCTCAAGTTAACCACATTTATGTAGCTGCTGCTTGCTATGTCAGCGGAACCAATTTTATGGGTTTTGTTTACGTTCTGTAAGGGGAAGTAATTCATGGTGCACTATTTTGTGTAACTGCCAACCTTTATCCCAATTAAAGTTATATTAGTATATTAAAGTAATGAAAGTAATATTGAATATTTTGAATGAGCCTATTGTTGATCATTAATTCGAAATAAAATGATTAAAATTTGTCAGTATATGACCACAAGAATGTTTAATGTTGTAATCTGAGAAATCAATATAACAAACCCTAGTTTCCCTCCCTCATCTTTGTCCCTATCACTTACAGTGCACTTCATTGAGATGTCTGCGGCATTACGTGTGGTCTACACCGTATCCAGGCCAGGTGGGTCTATGAATTATTAGAAGCAATATACGAGTAAAAACAAGCAACAAATACAGTGACATTTATGTATGTCTATATATGTGACCCTGGAGCACAAAAGCAGTCTTAAGTCGCTGGGGTATATTTGTAGCAATAGCCAAAAATACATTGTATGGGTCAAAATTATTGATTTTCTTTTATGCCAAAAATCATCATGTTCCATGAAGATATTTTGTAAATTTCCTACCGTAAATATATGAAAACGTACACATTTTTGATTAGTAATATGCATTGCTAAGAACTTCATTTGGACAACTTTAAAGGCGAATTTCTCAGTATTTAGATTTTTTTTGCACCCTCAGATTCCAGATTTTCAAATAGTTGTATCTCGACCAAATATTGTCATATATCACTTTCAGATGATATATAATTCTTATGACTGGTTTTGTGGTCCATGGTGACATATGTAATCAAAATAAAGTCTTAATTTCTCAGATGAGTGATTATGTCATGTGCTTACACCTTAGGGTCATTTCTGGCCAGACAAAATCTTGTACGTCCTCTCAGCCTATCCGCACACAGAGCAGGGATTAGTAAGTATCTCATGGTACAAAATATGGTCTTGGTATAAAACCTTTTACTATATCGTTGCTTTTTTCTATTTGCAGAATATGTTAATAATCAGGAGGAAGCCACAGATATGAAGTCCATCACGGACCGTGCAGCTCAGACTCTTTTGTGGACAGAGCTGTTCAGAGGTCAGTGATAACATGAGACTTTTATCGTTAACTTCTAAAGCACTTCCATAAAGTCCTCACTAAAATTATCCCCAGAACTCTAAAACGTAGGTCCACCTGATATTTGTCTTGATGCAGGTTTGGGAATGACCATGAGCTATCTTTTCCGTGAACCTGCCACAATCAACTACCCGTTCGAGAAGGGCCCTCTATCGCCCCGTTTCCGTGGCGAGCATGCGCTGCGCAGGTACCCCTCTGGAGAGGAGCGGTGCATTGCATGTAAACTTTGTGAGGCCATTTGTCCAGCCCAGGTACACTTTCTTTCTGATTGCCCTTGTTCATTCTAATATATCTTGACATTGTAGTAACAAACAGTAATTGCTAGTCATACGTTACTGCCGCGTTACATTGCTGACAGAATGCAGTGTTTTATAATCTAGAGATTGTAAAAAGGATGTAGCACACGCACTCAAGTGCCAGTGGATTAGAGACCTGCTCTCCCGCGAGACCCGGTGCACCAGAGTGCGGCGCGGGACAAGATGAGCGAGTGCTGGTGCGGGCGGGTAGACACTCGTGTGTGTGTGTGTGTGGGATGGGGGAGAATAAAATGATTCACGGGACTCCCACAAAATAGAAATATCTAAAACAAATAAATTGTTATTCATCTATTGCACAAAAGCAACATGAGCTAATATAAAATATAAACGATTAACAGGTGCAAGCGTATGCAGAGTTTCTATTTAGGCTATAACACGCGTTTGCAGCGTTAAGCAATGCAGTGCTGAAATTTGCATGCTCACGAATCCTCTCATTATAACACACGAATTGTAGACATTATGAAAGATTCATTATGCATATATTTATTGTGTTATAGATTTGTGAGATTGCGATGAACTGAGATGTCTTTTAGAGATTATAAATGCAGTGTTCTTTGCTGGCATTCTGCCATCCAACCCATGCACGCAGCAGCTGCTTGCTTTAGTTAAAAAGAACAGTGTTCTGTGAATGTTGATGCTTTAATAACAAATATTTATCGGGAGCATGTATGCTGGGATTTCATCAATTTCATGGAGAAAAAAGTAACGTAAATAGTAATGTAACTAATTACTTTTGAAATAAAGTAATCAGAACAGTAACGTGATTACTTTTAAAAGGAATAATCAGTAATTTGATTACATTTTCAGAGTAGCTTGCCCAACACTGGTCGTGGTCCCTTGCGGAGTGGCTCAACAGCGCGATATGCGGTATTATCGCCACATATATCATATCTGTGTGTTACGATATAATGAGGTCATATTCAGAAACCAATGAAATAGAAATAGAAACTAAATAGTGTTGAAACAGAAAGTGAAGAAAACAGAAGAGAATGTCAAAATAAGGGTCCGCATAACCGAACATAAACCTGACAATAAGATTATTGGGCTGTTGTTAGCCTATATTATGTATAACGGTTAGTTCTGATCTTCTAAACTGACTGGACAAGAGACTTTCTTCTGATATTTCACCTGCGCGTTCTAGACGGGCTGTCAGTCAGTGCAGTTACATTGTTGCACCACAAGGTCTTTAAACGGTTCATTCAACTACACGTTCAAAAAGATGATTCATCACACTGTTGAAATCATTTTAACTTTGAGCGCCACTTTAGAAGGCTCAGCTGACCAGCAATGCATCGATGCTAAACCAGAGAGTTTGCTTTTCTTGGACATGACAACCTATATTCACAAAAATATATGACTTGGCCTGAAGGACAGGTGCAGGTAATTGCACACGCTCAGTCGATCTCTCTCTCATTCGCTGTCTCTTTAGGCTTGTTAAGTGCAAGTCTACAGAGCCTCTGTACAAATCAGCATGGTTGGTAAAAATTTTTATCATTACTAACTTATTTAATATTCAGTACATGTGCACGAATTCGCTGTCTCTTTAGGCTTGTTAAGTGCAAGTCTACAGAGCCTCTGTACAAATCAGCATGGTTGGTAAAATTTTTTATCATTACTAACTTATTTAATATTCAGTACATGTGCACGAAGTGTAAAACGAGAAGGGCGTAAGCTTACGAAAAAAAGAAAACATGAAAATATCGCGGTTGCTGCGGTTCTTGCATTCCTCTGCAGTTGGCTCGTCAGTATTGCGATATTGCGGTTATCGCGACAGCCCTAGTAGGTTTATTTGTTCACACATGGGAATAAGAAGCATCATAGTGAAATTTAAATGTACAAGGTGACCTCCATGTTTTTTTTCTCTCTCAGGCCATCACCATTGAGGCAGAACCTCGTGTTGACGGCAGCAGGCGAACAACGCGTTATGACATAGACATGACCAAATGCATCTATTGTGGCTTTTGCCAGGAGGCCTGCCCTGTGGATGCTATTGTAGAGGTGAGCATAGCAGCACGTTTCAACTACGCATTGTGTCCCTTAACAGGCTATTTAAAGTGTCATCAGACAACGTGTCTAAAATAGGGGCGTTCAAACTGTTTTCTAGTGAGCCTGTGGAAATTTTGTGAGAACTTTACTAAATTAATTTTTTACAGCTGTCAAAATTAATACAGCACAGTACAATATAAAAAAGTATAGTGAGAGAAAACAAATAGAATATACACTACAATTCAAAAGTTTAGGAGTGGTAAGAAGTCACTTATCCTTACCTAAATAGCATTTATTTTAATTTTTTAAAAATACAATAAAACAGTAATATTATGAAACATTAATACAATTTAAAGGGGACATAACACACACAGTTTCTGCCAGTCTCATGTTAATCTTGAGTACTTATAGAGTAGTATTGCATCCTTCATATCTCCGAAGACAGATGCAGCTGTACCGCTCACAAAATAAGCAGGCAATTAAATAGGTTGATTTAAAATCTACATGGGGATGAAGGATAAATTAGATAAACCAGATTTATTAGAGTTAATGTCTACCTTTACCTGTCTGTCTTTTTCTTAGGGTCCCAACTTTGAGTTCTCCACAGAGACTCATGAGGAATTGCTTTATAAAAATTCTGTGTATTCTGTGTACACTATTCTGTGTAGTGTTACATTTCTGTAACTTTTAAGTTCCCGTTGAAAATAAATTGCAATGGTGTCTTTCTTTAAGTTTCTGACAATAACAAGTGGTTGCTGAAAAAAAAAATCTTAAACCAGCTTAATGTAGTTTGCTGGTCTTGGTCGGTGTCCCAGCCTGGTCAAGCTGGTCTGTTGGCTGGTCAGGCTGGGAGACCAGCTGGTCGTCTCTTACGTTGAGTCGCTGATGCTTATAGGGAAACTCTGTTTACTCTGATACTGAAGCCTGATTTTTTCATGGTAGTGTAACTGCACGAACCAATGGCACTTCAACCCACCAAAAGGGGTGGGGCTGACTGCTATACAAGTCAGATCTGAGCGCCATTTCGTCATAATTTTTCTCCTTCAGCGACGAAGATCATCTCCTCGCTGACTCTACAAGCAAGAAGCCAAAGAGAAAGAATTCTATTAATGTCAGACGCGTTTCTACGTGCTTGATGTAGGTAATTCAGAATGCGGATTCCCATCTGTCTCCGAGGGGAATAAGCCGCGTCTGTGTGTGGGGCCAGAAACTAGCTAAAAAAATTTTAAACTTGTTTTTAAGCAGAGAAAACACTATTTCTGCCAATTTATTAAACTTTCTGCTTTGGTTGTGTATGTCAAAACAGAAGTCGGACCAAACTCCTGATGATGTGGAAATTCCAGTGGAAAAAAAAGAGTTTATGGATGAGTTCTTTGCTCAGGTATAAGTGAATCAATGAATATGGACATTTGAACACACTCTTAAAAATAAAGTTACACACTATTGTTACACACTCTTAAAAATAAAGGTTCCAAAAGGGGGTTTTAACAGCGATGCCACAGAACAACTCTTTTGGGTTCCCCAAATAAACTTTTTGTGAACAGTTCTTAAAAGTAAAATGTTTTAATTTTTAAAAGTCCAAAGATTACTTATAGAACCACCAGTGCCGATAAAGAATCGTTATTTGTAAGAGTGCAGTTGAATGGACATTTGAAAGTCATTTCTGTATGCGTTCTACAGTTTGAAGAAATCCGCACCAGTATAGACAAGATTGATGAAAATATAGGCGAGATAAAGCGACTGTATTCCGTCATCCTCTCTGCACCGACATCAGACCAGAGTTAGTATAATTACATTTAACCTTAATTTTTATAAATTATTTATTTTTCTCTATTGCCTCCCTACCACATTCATGCTTTACATATATCTCATCACATTTCTCAAACAGAGACACAGGATGAATTGGAGGCAGTTACGAATGAGATAAAGAAATTGGCCAACAATGCTCGCAACAAACTCAAAAGTCAGTTTTCTGTTCTACTTTTGCTTGTTGAAGAAAATACATAATTATTTTTCAATAATAATTGGACAATATGCTACATCGCTATTATAAATTCTGAGTTGAAATATTTTGTCAACCAATGTTGTCAACAGGCATTGAGCAGATTTTGGCATCTAACACCGAGGAGAGGGTTTCAGCAGATATGCGGATAAAGAAATCTCAGGTAACCACTAGTCCTGCCAATAATCCTGTCACTTATGCCTGTGTCTGCGAACTGGCATACTTCACACCGAAACCATCCAACTCTTTGCTATTGACTCTCCTCTGAATCCCATCATCCTTGGTCTGCCCTGGCTAGAGAGACACAACCCCCGGATCTCATGGACCACTAAGCAGATTCTACAGTGGTCTGACTCCTGCCAAAGGAATTGTTTACTCACCAGCCTAACGCCCTCATCTCCCCGACCAGCCCAGATATTAGATGATTCACCGGTTCCGAGAATACCCCCTGAGTACCAGGACCTCGCTGACGCTTTCAGTAAGACCAAAGCCTCGCAACTTCCTCCTCACCGACTCCGTGACTGTGCGATCGATCTTCTTCCAGGATCAAACCCCATTAGAGGCAGAGTTTTCCCCTATCAAAGCCAGAGTCCGAGGCCATGAAGGTGTATATTGAGGAGGAGCTGT